CCCCCTTTTTCCCAAGGAAAAAAAAAAAATTTTTTTTTTTTTTTTTTTTTTTTTTTAAGGGATATAGACTTAAGTGGCGAGGACAGAATTTAAATTTCACACATCGTATGCTTTTCCCAGCGTTACAAGTGTAGTGTTATAAGGTTAGCAACTTGTTGCAATATGCTATTGGGCTGGGGAAAAGCGTCTGTGGGGTTTACTCAGCCTGTGAAAATACTGAAGCAGTACTTACCCACTGCAAAGTCAATAAAACTGTGTCACACTAAAACCAACAAAAAGTGCTTTTACAAATTGATATTTGTCAAGAATTGTCTGCCGGAATGCAGCAGTGTAAAAATAACCACTAAAACACCAGCATCTACTTGCTGCAAAATTCAAGTAACCACGAATCCCTGTTTAATAGTACACACAGTTTTTAATGTGTTAATGCTTTGGGTTTCTTCAAAGCATATTACTTTTTGAAGTCTGGGTGTTTCTATTTGTGCAGAAAATAGACTGAGAAGCTTTGAGCTCCTACTGTTACAAAAGTTAAAAGGAAACAAAGTTGAGCTGCTAAGTCGGCAGTCTGGAATGAGTCAATAGTATCTCCTTTGTCCTGCTAGCTTTCTCTGCTGCGGTGTATCTTTGCTCTATTTCCTCTGCAAAAGCAAATGAGCGTTTCTACCCTCAGCATATTTAATCGACTTAATAGAAGTCCTAGCTTCTAAATATTCTAAACTACCAGTAATATTACAATGTGTCTGCCTTTCCCAGCTGTATACAACAGTTATGATACCGTCAACGACAGTACGCTCACTTCTTTAACCCCAAAGATACTTCCACATTTTCCATAATCTATAATTAATAGAGCAAATTATTATTGCTTTGTTGTAGTAAGCCTTCATAACGGAACAAATATGCCTTTTTAAAGTACTCCATTATCTCTTGTGGTTTTGGTTGGTTTTGGTTTGTTTTGTTCTTAAGAAAAAAAAAAAGAAAAAAAAAGAAAAAAAAGACTGGGCTGGAGACATGAAGGAGATGTAAATAAGTCCCCTCTTCATTTACTTGGGGATTCCCTGGGAGTCTCAGAGGGCAAGGAGGTAACATAGCTGGCTTTTACAACAGGATGACAGGTCCTGACATAGGGTCACAGAGAATCTATGCTTGGCTAGCCCTGTGCTCCAGTTTTGTTTAGCTGGTAGCTAGTCCCTTGAGGGATCAATGTCAACTTAAGCATGCTAACTTCTACAAGTAATGGGCTGGCCAGTGACTGAGAGCTGTGACTGTCTCCTCCAAGGCTCCCTACTTCTGCTGCACTTGGAGCTCGAGTGCTGCCAGGCTGATTCTGTGGCTCTGCAGCTTGTCACAGAGAGAATCAAAGTGGCAACGGTACAAAGCAAGCTCCAACACTGCCTGTTCTCTGAAAACTAAAGGTGGCTAGATGTATTAGGTGGATAGGAAAAGCAGTTTGGGTAGGGACATGGCTTCATGACTGAGGCACAGAAACTGGAGCCAACTCCCATCACCATGAGCTGAGTTTCTGTGTACCCCAACCCACTTTGCCCTTAAATTCTGGCCTTGAATTTGCATTAGTAGTTCCACAGATCTGTCACACTCCCAGAGATAATAAACAAATGTCAATTCAATATCCCACACATAAAAGTACTAGATATCAACCTACTTTCTCTTTTAAGATATGTATATCTTAAATCTATCAATCAGGGAACAAGGTATATGCACACACACAAACACACCTCCTCACACTGATAGTCCTTTCTGGTTTAACTTTCAAAACCCATTGGAGATTAGACTTGGGCTAATAGAGTTCAAAGAAGAGTGAATTTGTATTAACTCACCAGGGTTGAGACTTGCATTTTAGCATGTACAGTATGTAGTTTTTATTCAGTTTTATGTTACAGTATGAAGGCTTTTTAAGTCTGCAAGATCATGATAATTTTTTGTGTTTATAAAAATAAGGCTTGTTTGTTATTAATTTATCTAACTCTGCTTTTCTTTTGATGTTTGAAGTACATAAAGAAGTAATTTAGCACATGATTAGCTGAATGACCCTTCCTTTCCTTTTTTCACACTTGAAAAAGATTATCAGTCGACTACTGCTGTATTACTGTATATGTGACCAGTCTGTCTGTACCGTTTGATGTCTGATACTTTTTAATTTTTTTTATTCTTCTTGTAGTCTTATTCTGTACATAAGATCCCAGGTATTTTTTAATTTTTAAATGCAGCCCTATAATTCCTAATGATAACAAGCAGTTTTCTCTGATCCCCATAAAGGCCTATGCTATGGATTTCCATAGCTTTCATTTAAAACTCTAGACACATTTCCATCTTTTCATTTGTGAAGGGTGTTACTAACTTACATTTGGAAATTTCACTGATTCAGACAGCACAGTCTTCCTGGTTCTGCAAGCGGGCAGTTCCAGTGTTTCAGCTTTTGCACAGTAGCACTTTAACAAGCAGCAACCATGCATAACTAACAAGACTGCAAGTCCAGTTACTGCTTTTTAGAAGCCTGTACCCAGCTCTTATGTTGTCCAAAATGTCCATTTTATGTTGTTGCAGCCGTAGGACAGTACTACTAACAGCAGGATTGTGCAGTAGTTATTTACAATGGATAAGATACAGGGTGAGAAAACAAAAGTTCTAAAAAATGGAGCCTGAGGCACAGGAAGAAAGAACAGCTCCAGCTATCCTTTTATAGTAACTGGTGTTTTATGGAAAGTGGTTAAGAAAGGAAAAAAAGGAAAACTCTCTCTTCTTTCCAGCAGTTAGCCAGTGATGGCATGATACTTCTAACTGAAGACTGATAACATTCTTGGATAAACCCTTCTGCAGGTTTCATTTCTAGTATCTGGAAAAAAGCGGTATTGTTTTCCTCAGCTCCTTCTCTTGGATCTACTTTTAGATTCTGGGTCTTACCCTCTAACTATATTGATGGATATCTAATAGAACAGTTATCAAGTTTGGCATTAATGCTTGATAAAAAAGTAACATATCCTTATGAATATTTTAAATTGCTGTAGTAGTTTTCATTAGAATTTTTTACACGTACAGTTAGCATTCTGAATACAACATATGAATAGATGGCATTAGCTAGTCAGGGCATCACTTCAAAACATGTACATAATGTCTACACAAGATACACCTAGCACAGACTAAAAAAAGTGTTCTTAGCGTGGATTACAGGTACTATTAAATGAATACTTTGATGAATGGAAACTAGGAATTCAGTAGTTCACCAGATGAGAAATATGCCTTTAGACTCCACAAAGAAGTAAAAAATAAATATGCTGAAAACTAGGCAACACTAGCTGGAAAAACAGATTATTGAGACCACTGTGTTTTTTAGGCACTCTTAGTATCCTCATTTCTGTCTGAATGTTTTATTTGCATGAACATCCTTTTTTATAAATCAATAAATTTCACAAAGATTCCACTGTACGACACTGTACTGATTGGCTGTCGCAACTACTGACTAAATATTAATTTTGGTAGTCTTTCTGAGTTAAATCTATAAATTCCTATACCTGGATAACTTTTAAAACCCTACACACGAGTGAAACTCTGAGAAAAACAATTTCCTGATTTACACATTGTCCATCCTTGCTTTTAAAGATTTGGTTAGTAATTTACATT